AAGGCATTAGTAACATCCATCTGCTCAATAATCCAATTATGAATTGCAGAAAGAGCCAGCATTAGTCTAACTGTTGTAAGCTTAGCAACTGGACTAAAAGTATCAATGTAGTCAATGCCTTCTTGTTGTGTATATCCCTTAGCAACCAAACGAGCTTTATACCTCTCTATGGTGCCATCTGATTTATACTTGATCTTGTAAACCCACTTGCAGCCAATAGCATGCTTCCCATCAGGTAGAGAACAAATTTCCCAAGTGGAAGTACTCACAAGAGCATCTAACTCCACGTTCATCGCATCAAGCCATTTTTGCAACAACACTGCCTCTTTAAAGGTAGTAGGTTCTTTCTCAGCAATTATGGCAAAACAGAACAGACGATACTCATGAGAGAGTTTATCGTAGGACAAATAAGCAGAGAGAGGGTGAGCAGTACCATGAAGAGAAGATGAAGGCTCTTTTAGGATATTAGAGCAATGGTACTGTGAAAGATAACTAGGAGCTCGAGTCTCTCTGCGTGGCCTAAGTGTGTTTTCCATGTCATTCCTAGACTGATCATTATTTGTGTTTGATGGAGCGAGGGATCGTGAGTGTGTGTGTGCTGGAACAGTACTAGACTCAGTGACAGGAACAACTTCAGGAATTGAAACATTGAAATCATCAAAAAATTCAAATCTGTTTTGGTTTTGTTTTTCAAAGGCAGGTAAAACTGAATCATCAAAGAAAGAAATACTTTGTTTTGCAGAATTCTCAATAAATGGGAAAATAGATTCATGAAAAATGACATTACGAGTGATTGAAATAGTATTGAATTCAAGATCTAAAATTTTGTAGCCTTTGAAACCATGTTCATATCCAAGAAAAACACATTCTCTAGCCCTTTCAGTAAATTTATGACGATCATGCTGCAATGTAGATGCATAACAAAGACAACCAAACACTCTTAAAAATGTGTAATCAGGAAGTTTCTTATAAAGAACCTCATAAGGACTTCTATCTTGTAAAACTGGTGATGGTGTTCTATTAATGAGAAATGCAGCAGTGGAAACACATTCTGGCCAATATGAAAGAGGAACATTTGATTGAAAATACAAAGATCTAGCCACATTTAGAAGATGCTGATGTTTTCGTTCTACAACTGAATTTTGTTGAGGTGTATATGCACATGAATGATAATGAAAGATGCCAAGAGAAGCTAATAATTCTTTAAATTGTAATTCAGGAGCATTATCAGAACGAATGCTTTTAATTTTTGCATCAAATTGTGTTTGAACAAGTTTTATGAAATCTGGAAAAACTTTAGATACATCACTTTTTAAACGCAGAAAATAAATCCAAGTCATGCGAGTGCAATCATCAACAATAGTAAGGAAATATCTATAGCCTTGGACAGAAGTAACATGAAATGGACCCCAAACATCAATATGAATCAAAGAGAAAGGTTCATCAGAAATCTTATTATTTGAAACAAAAGGTAATCGTTTTTGTTTTGACATATGACAAACTTTACAATGAAAATCTGATAATTTTTGAGGAATATGTAAATTGCAAGACATAGACTGAACCCTTGACATAGAGGGGTGACCAAGACGCTGATGCCAAAGCTCAGGAGAAACAGCAATGCAAGATGCAACATGAAGTTGTGTATCAGGTGGAGGTTGTTGACTTAAGAGATAAAGATCATTGGACTGATCTCCTCTACCAATCATCCATGCCTGAGTATGATCCTGAATGAAACAAGAATCATGAAAGAAATGAACTGAAAGATTTTTATTTGTTTTTGTTAAAGAACTAACACTAATAAGATTGAAATGAAAAGAAGGGACATAAAAAACAGGATGAAGAATGAGCTTATCACTAAGTATGACTGTTCCAGCAGTGTGAATGGGAATAGTGGTTTTGTTTGGTAGTGTAATAGTGGTATGATCAACATGGTAGACATTAGAAAACATACTCAAGTCACAACAGATATGACAACTAGCTCCAGTATCAAGAATCCAGGTATTTTGTGGAATAATAAGGCCTGGTTCGAAAGCAGAAATATAGTGAGAAGGCATGAGTGACATACCTTGTGCTGAGATAGAACCAAGATGTTGCGAGACAGGCTGTGCTTGAATAACTTGATACGGAGAACCTTGAAGTTGTCTGTTCAACTGAGTAACCATTTGAGTAACCTGTTCACCACTGTGAGAACTACTACCAACAACAAAACCTTGTCCAGAATTCACCATATTAATTGAATGATTCACTTGTGAGGATTCTCCAGGAAGAACAGAACCAGAAGATTGAGTAGCAGATAAACCAGAACCACTAGCAACAGAAGCCTGAACCGGAGTAATTGACGAACTCCCATTGTAAGTCTGATTAAGAGGGACATATGGAGTGCCATAGTATGTCTGACCAACAGGAGCATATGAATTACCATTGTAAGTGAGGAATTGGTTCTGTGGAATCTGTGATTGAATTTGTGGAGCTTGATCTGCAGGAGAATACATCATCTGGTCTGGAAGTTGTGAATAAACCATGTGAACACCATGCTGTGGTTTGAATTTTCCTGGAGGCTGCTGTGTACCAGAGATAGGAGGAAGCTTGTAACCAGGCGGATAGCCATGGAGCTTGTAACATCTAGCCACTGTATGACCCAGAAGACCACAGTGTGTGCAGAGAGGACGGGGTTTCCCTTGCTGGTGAAAATTCTTGGGTTTCTGATAGGCCATGGAAGCTTGAAAAACAGGTGTCTCTGGTACAGGCATTGAATTGAATCCTCTTTGTTGTTCATCTTGAGAGATGAAGTTGTAAATCTTTGTAAATTCTGGAAGTGGATCCATCATAAGGATCTGACGGCGAGCCTGAGTAAAAGACTCATTGAGACGCATCAGAAATCTAACAATATTGCGCTTCTCATAAAGCTGAATCCATCGATCATTACAGCCACAAGTGCAATTGCCACAAGTACATGAAGGTAACTCTTCAAAATTCTTCAACTCTTCCCATAGAGTGGTTAAACGAGTATAATAAGCACTGAGATCCAACGATCCTTGGTGTAAACGATCTAGTTGATCTTGAACACTATAGATCTTAGACAAGTTACTCTGCCTAAATCTACCTTCAAGATTCAACCACAAGAGATGCGCATCATCAAAATAAACTGTTCCAGATCCTAATTCCTTCGAGACAGAGTTCGTAATCCAGGTACATACCATATCATTGCATCGAGTCCACGATCCGTAATCATTGTGACTCTCCGGAGGTTTAACGACAGTGCCATAGATGAATCCGAGCTTATTCTTCGCGTTGAGAGCTTTGATGATAGAACGACGCCAAGTGTGATAGTTGGATTCACCGATAAGCTTGTCGAGAACGAGATTAACACCGGAATTGTCAGCCGCGTGAAGATATAGAGGATTTGAGTAAATATCGGTGCTCGGAGGAGCTGGATTCGTCATTGAGAAGGAAAACGGAGCCGGAGAAAGAAGAAATACGATCGGAATGTAACGCGATCGGAGAAATTTTCCGATCAATCGAAAGAGAATGAATCGGAGATCAAGAATTTGAAAGAAACGAAGAAATCAAACGAAGAAACGAAGAAAAATTTAGCTGCGGAAGAAGATGAATGAAGCTGGGGAAAAGCTCTGATACCATTTCAGATCTAACAAACTATTCAGAGATTTTAGAATTATGCTTCATTAATCTTAAAGAGATGAGAGTTTGTCTCTTAAATACAAACAACTAAACCAAGTCCATAATAGAAAACTGGTACAAGATAATAAACCGAGTAAACCAATACATATACTCTAATATAAATCTCTCTGTCACAAACTAATTATATCAAAATTCTTAATATATCAAATTCTCACAAACACAATAAAAATTCGAAGAAAAAAAAAAGAATTAAGCCAATCACAGCTCCTAAACTTCACCGTAGCTATAATCGACAAAGGTCAAAGACTCATTATCAGCTAAATCACAAAACATAAACCATTGATCAGATCAATCAAATGATAAGTATCCTAAGTAAATCGTGTGCCAGTTCTTAGAACCAAACAACAAATCGAAACAAAAGGCGAGAAACAGAGAGAGAATGACGTGGAAGGAGAATTGATATTAGTGGATAACAAAATTGAGCTGTATTAATGTTATAATTTTATTGGACAAATTTTTTAATGATGTGTCAAGCTGAGAACAGCTGAAAAAGCTGATGTGTCAATTCAGGAGAGAACCCTAGTGTTATTATTGTATTGATTCTCTACTATCCATATAACCAAACACAAATAAAATATTTTATTTAATTACAAATATTAATAGTATAGATATTTAAAAGATTTTGTTAAGATTTAAAATTATGATTCCCCTATCATCTTTGTTTGATATATTTTTTGACTTGCTTTGTATCATCATATAATACATAAAATAAATAAATTTCTAGATTTTTTTCTGCATTTATCGTGATTTAAATTTTAAAAAACGAACATGTATTACTCAAACAATGAAGAAAAATTGTGTGTTCAACGTCCCACATCGGATAAAATATTTAGACATAATTCAAACTCATATTATAAATAAGACCAAAATGAATATGAACCTTAACTTAACAAGCATCCATATTTAAAAGTTTATATCTTATTTAACCCGGTCTTTTAGTCAAACCGTTTAATTATACCAGAAATAATAAATTTTTAACATTTAAAAATATCACAGGACGGTTTATATAGCGGGACGGGTTTTGATTGACATTAATATAAATTTAAAATATTATTGACTCGATGATACAATACGGGTAAACCATCATTTCATTATTTTGTTAACACTATCAATAAAATATTAGATATATCAAATTAAATTGATATTAAATTATGATTATGTGAAAATAAATTGTCCCGCGGTATACCGCGGGTTAAAAACTAATATAATACATAAACTTCTCATAAAAAATGAAAAAATAAATAAATAAATAAATAAACTTCTCATAAAAATTTCCATCCTCGATCACCAATCGGCCCATAATCACTAATCTACATTTGATCATTCACAGAGAGAGACAGAGACATGTGTTCACTAGAGAAACGTGGTCGACTTTTCATACTAAAACTCACCGGCGACGGCGAACACCGTCTCAACCCAACCTTACTCGACTCTCTCCGCTCCACCATCAACCAAATCCGATCAGATCAATCATCATCACAATCAGTACTCATCACAACATCAGATGGTAAGTTCTTCTCCAATGGCTACGATCTCGCTTTAGCCGAAACAAATCCATCTCTCTCTGTTCTCATGGACTCAAAACTCAGATCCTTAGTCGCCGATCTCATCTCTCTTCCTATGCCAACCATCGCCGCCGTCACTGGTCACGCCTCCGCCGCGGGATGCATTTTAGCGATGAGTCATGATTATGTATTGATGCGTCGTGATAGAGGTTTTTTGTATATGAGTGAATTGGATATTGAGTTAAAAGTTCCGGCGTGGTTTATGGCTTTGATTAGGGTTAAGATTGGTTCTCCGGCGGCGAGGAGGGATGTTATGTTGACGGCGGCGAAAGTGACGGCGGAGATGGGTGTAGAGATGGGGATTGTTGATTCGGCTTATGATAGTGCGGTGGAGACGGTTGAAGCCGCCGTTAGATTGGGAGAGGAGATTATTAGGCGTGGTGGTGATGGGCACGTGTACGGTAAGATGAGAGAGACTCTTTTAAGAGAGGTTCTTGTCCATACTATTGGTGAAGATGAGAGTGGTTCAAGTGTGGTGCGTAACACTAGATCTAAACTTTAGGACATGTTTGTGCTTTTAAGACTTTTTGTACGAGATTGACTTTTTCAACTTGTAATAATAATAAGGGTTGTTAGCAATAAAATCCCTCAACTAAAGATGAATCGTAAAAAAAACTCTTTAACTATATATTTAGTGCAAAAATCCCTCAATTTTAAATATGTTCATGAAAATTCTCCTTAGTTTCCATTATTGTAAAAATTGGACGGATTACAGTTAATTTGAAACTGAAAAACGATATTTTTTTTTTCGTCGAAAATGAGAATTATATTAATGAATAAGAAAAATCATCATACAATTGTTCAGATAACCACCTTGGTGGATTACAACTTTCAGAGAAAAAACATCGAACAGGAACACTATGCTTTGCCAACAAATGAGCCGCATTATTACAAGAACGTTTAGTAAATACAAACTGTAAAGAATGAAATTTAGCTGCCCATAACAAAATGTCTTGATAGAAACTGAAAAACGATATATATACACTTAAACAACATGAATTGTAAACAAAAACAACAAAATCTTCTTCTATCTGATTGTAAATCCTCAAACCTAAGCTCTAAAGTTTTCAAAGTGAAAAATCTAAATTGATGAACCATAATTTATCATAGTAAGATTCTCTGAAGTGTGTGAGATGTAGAAGTCGATTAGGAGAGATTCTGAAAAATGTTACGTTTTAATTTGAACTGTAGTCCGTCCAATTTTTACGATACTGTAGACAGAGACGAATTTACATGAACATATTCAAAGTTGAGGGGTTTTTCACTAAATATATAATTGAGGGGTTTTCTTATTATTTATCTTTAGTTGAGGGGTTTTATTACTAAAAACCCTAATAATAATAGGCAGAGTTTTCACGCCCGATCCGAACCGTCCAGTCCAACCGGTTAACTCGTAATCCGGACATTTCTCTGGTTTGGATTTTTTTTTAATATTCGTTTATTTCAAAACCGAAAAAATTCACAAAAATCTGTCATTAACCCACGACCCGGTGAACCGATTGAACCGGCAAGACTTGGGTTTAACAAAATTCATCGATTTTTGTTTTTTTTGGTATAAAATATAAGGCTTTTTAGATTTTTAGTGTATTCATTATTCAATTATTTTAAAAACTTTTTCAGTTCTTCAATTTTTTCTCAAACGGTTTTCGTTGGATTTAAAAATTAAATCAATTTATTATTATTGTTAGACTTTATATTTGGTTAAACATGGTATAATTATTTTTATTTTTATATTTATAAACTATATAATCTATATAAATAGTAAATATATTAAATTAATTTGAATCAATTGACCTATGATCAAATCCGGTTGATCCAGTGACCCGCTGATCCAGAAGATAGTCCGATTCACCGTTCGGGTTGGATTTATAAAAATTAATAATAGGTTTTAAAAGCGCCATGTTTATGAAATTTGGTACCTAAGATGGGCCGGCCCATTTGCGTGTCCATGGGCTTTAACAATATCATATATATAAAATACGTAAAATCCAACCTAGTCCTTGTAAGATTTGTTTTCTAGCTTTTAGGGTTTGGTTTCAGAGGCACGAACGAAGATCAAATCAAGAGGTTAGGATCTGGATTTTGATCATATGTTTTCTTTCGATTTTATATGATTTGAGAATGATTGTTTTGTGTCTCAAAGTAATTGTGTTTTGTTGGTTATAACTAAAATGTTGGAGTTTTGGATTTAGGGTCGATATAGGAAGTTTTGAAAGGGATGGATGGTAGAAGTAATGGAGATCATCTAGGATATATTTTCCGCAGTCAATTGCATGAGATGTTGGATGATCCTTCAACGGATTCAATAGTTTCATGGAGCGAGAGCGGCAAGAGTTTCATCGTTTGGATGATGAGAAGTTTTGCAGTGCTGTTCTTCTGAGAGATGACTTTAAACGCTTGGGCTTTAGAAAAGTTGAAAAATCTGAAAAATTGGAATATGCATGCGATTATTTTGTGAGACCTCAGCGTGAGCTTAAACCGCCTCCCCCTATTTGTGGGTTATCGCCGGGAACACTCAGACAGCATGAGATCTGCAAGGGTTTGGTGGAGACAGATAGTGTTCTTTTAAGTAGCCTTTCTTGCTATAGAGAAAAGGCTGCGATTGTGAATCAACGCCGCAATGTCGTGTATAAAGCAATGCCAAGACGAAGATCTTGCCTTGTCATCCCACAATTGTATGAGATGGTGGATGATCCTTCAACTGATTCAATTATCTCGTGGAGTGGGAGCGGCGAGAGTTTCATCGTTCGGAATGAACCTGAGTTCCTTAGAGATGTTCTTCCGACACACTTAGGCTTACGATACAAAGAGATGATGACATCCTTCACCCGCTGGCTTGATGTCCTAGGCTATAGGAAAGTTGAAGAATCAGATGAGCAATGGGAATATGCAGGCGATTGTTTTGTGAAATGAGCATTTGCATCTTTTAACTCATTCGTTGTTGATCTTAAGAAAATGAGCATTGCGATCTCTGTAAGTACACAAAATGTTGCACAAGGATAAATTCGAATTAACCCCGAGAGATATCTGGATACAATAGCTAGCTCAAAAGTAGGTAAGGCGACATAGACATCCTAACACACGTCAATTCTACTACACTCAAACTACTAATGTTGTCATTACAGACAAGCAAAAGAAAAAGAAACAAAACTACTTACGTGGTCTTCATCGTCATATCTAAGTCCCCTCTGCAAAAGCCCTCTCTTCAAGTGTAGTCTTGACTTTGTGAACGAACCCATAGACTTCTTCCAAGTCGACCATACTCAACTTGCCAAGTTCATAGTCAAGCATCCGCATCAAGCAGTCATTCAGTAAATCAATCAAGTGGACATCATCGTTGGTTTGCTGATGCACCAAAGACATCACAGTACCTTGCTCCAGTAAATTCATGTGATCAATCTATCCAAAGTAGAGCTACTAGTAGTCCAAAGAAGAAGCTCCAAGTCAGCTGTTTTCTGAGCCTTGATCTCATCTAACACCAAAGCATCAAGTATTTTTATCACTCCCGAGAGAAATCTATCGACAAAAAAACGAGCATTATGTTCATAAGCCGACAGTTTGCTCAGCTCAACTCCATTGAGATGTTTTTTCATGAAATCGAAATCATAATTTATTACAGTGAGTAATTGGAACACGTGGCCCATATTTTCCCGCCAAAATATCATACCGTATAATGACGTTTTCCCGCCAAAATCGTAAATCCGCGTTTTTCCGCCAAAATTGCATAACTATGTTATAGGAGACGTGGTTTTACGTTTTGTTTTAAATATTTAAATCAAAAATTGAATTTAAGTAGAATATTAGTTTTAAATATATTTAATATTTTGCTCTTTTATTTTAGTTATTAAGATATTAACATTTTTAATAAAAATAACTAATATAAAATGAAACATAAATGGGCTTAAATAGGTACCCATTTATTTGTGTGAAACCCCATTTAATAAATGAGTTTAATTGGGGTAACCCATTAAACCCCATTTAATATTTTTTCCTAAATGGGTTTAAATGGGTTAATTTTTTTTTGTACATACCCATTTATTAAATGGGGGTTCCATGCTTAAGTTAACATCCCTACACGTGGGAGATCAATGGAACTGCAATCTGCACTTCAGGGAGTTCCACGACCAAGAAAGGGGGTGGTGGTGGATTTTGATCTCTTAGAAGACCCAGAAACGAAAGCAAATCCTTAGTTTCGTCCACAATATGTTGCACAACAACAAGAATGTGTTTCATGGCGGCAGAGGAGCTCTCTGGATCTCGCTGAGAATGAGATTAATTTCGCTTAATTTACAAACGGCAAAACAAAAATGCCTAAAACAAGCGAATAAAGATGATAACCAATGAAGCAAACCTGGAGATAGCTGTTGATATGACTTCTCATAACATCTAATTCAACATTCCTCATATACCAAAGACGACGACCTCCGTCTCCTCCACGATCCATCTTCTTCTTCGCTAACCTAAAAGAGATTAAGAGAATCGGGGATTAAGTACACAAAATTTGCACAAAAATAAATCAAATGAACTCTGAGCAAATAGATTTTGTGAGAGAGATCTGGATACTATAACTCAAAAGTAGGTAATAAAACATAGAAATTCTAACACATATCAGATTCTAGAACTTCTACTACACTCTACTACTAATGTCATTACATAACCACAAAAAAAAAAAAACAAGCAATAATAATGGTTCTTTTTCGTCTTTGTAGGTTACTTGATGACGTTTTACCATGATAATAGTCTCAATAAATTTGTTAGCGTTACTAGTTTCTTTTTACTCATTTATTTAAAAAAAAAAATTCATAGGCTTACATCATCTGGTATTATTTTATTCAAATCTGTCTACCGCAAAGAATAATCTTTCATGCAAATTTATCAACAATTCCACTTATGATTCAACGACATACATTGCAACACATGGATTACATACATTTTATTTGATGAATGTAAAATTAATTAAACCAAAATACATTGTTTATAGTAAATGCATTTTTTAGTAGAGTTTTTATAAGAAACCATAAAAATAGTTGAATCAAAACCGAGCTTTTGGTTGGAAGTCTCTAAATACTTGCCATACATCTCCAGGCAAACCATATTTGCAACCCATCTTTAAATTTGGAGTCAGCTTGTTGCCTTAAGGAGCATAGTCGATTACGGGCCAGCCGGTTTATGAATTTAATGAGCTTTATGTCACCATGCCTTCGACAGTTCCGTTCCGTAGTGAGACAGTTATGAGTTTTAACGTATGGATTTATGAGTTATGACTGGCGGTTTTATTAACCATTATGGACAGTTCTACCATAATACACAGTAGAATTATGACATATTGTTTAACATGCATAGTACACATTGGAATATGTGATAAGTTTGCATTCTAGACCTCATGGCTGATGCTAAAACTTCAACCAACCACTGTAGCAAAAGGGTTTCACAACTATTTTAGTTAGGATCCAAAATATTTTGTTTTGGTTTAAAATCAGACATATAATTTTTTTTTTTTTTTTTTTGAATTATTTGAAAGAGCAAGTGTCTTTAGACATTACTCAAGCATGCATGAGAAATGGAGGAATCTACAAAGAGTAAAAGGGTGCATCGTGCACGTACACATGAGCTGACCTTGAAATTTCGAGGCTCAAGACTAAACATATATCTTTTCAAGTTTTTTTAGATAGTTATAAGAAAAAAAGTCACATTTTAAACCTTCAAAAATTGGGAGCTATTTGTATAGCATATAAATATTTTACTCATGGGCCTAAATATTTTGGAGACTCTAGTTCCATTTCGCTTGACCTAGAGTCGGCCTTGCACCACGTACACGGCTTTGGTTTTTTGTATATGAGTGAGCATGACACTCAGCTAAACGTTTATGGATATATCTTGGATGAAATTGATTCATCTCTTGCGAGAAGGTATGTGATGTACGCTGGATTAGGGTTCAGATATGGGATTCGTTGGCTCCGCTCACGGCAGTATGGAGGACATTGTGTAGGATAAACCAAACTAAGATAGATTTATGCTAAAAAAAAAGAAAAGGAATAAAAAAGATAGATTTGTGCTCAAATGAGTTTATTAACATAGAATCTAAAACTGAAAATAAGATAGTTCATTGAGTTATATTATGTGCAATTAAGTAAAGGAAAAAGAAAGTCTTTAACTAAGAGAATCACTAAGCTATAATAATTCTTAGAATGAGCTATAAAATGATAAAGAATAGAGTTTCTCTAAATGGCAAGTCTAGAAATTAGAGACATTGATATTCATTACATATTTTATATAGTAAACAATTTTGTTTGAGAACCCTAATTACATGGACTAGTCATGAGCTTGTTTCTTTCGTAGTGTTGGACTTGTTGGTTTTACATTGTTTTAAGGATGTTCTAGTAGATGTCTGCTGAAGCCGCGGTTAGGTTAGGTGAGGAGCCGAGGAACACATGTACGGTATGATGAGAAAAACTCTTCTAAGAGAGGTTCATCTCCTTACGATTGGTTTAGATGAGATCCCTTCGAGTAGGGTGCGAAACACTGGATCCGAATTGTAGAATATTGTTTTTTCTTTCTTTAAACCATATATTTGTATTAGGGATTATGATAAAAAAAAAAAAAAAAATCAGGTTCCAAGTCAAATTTGCTACTTATGATGCGATGCCACATGTTTATACTTAGGATTCCATAGTTTAGACTTTGTACCACATTGACTTTTGCAATGTTTTACGTTTTTTACGTTATTAGTAATAGAATATTTTTTGGTAAAAGAATTGTGAAATTTGCTACATATATATTTGAGTATCTACGCAATCGAAAAAGGTTATATGGAGTTGCATACTTCATCAATTAACCGTACACATTATTTCACACATTCGGATGAGAAACCAAATCAGAAAACCAGACACTTTTATTTGTTTCACACCAACCAGAGATTCCGAAAAAAAAGAAAAACGAAAACTGTGTTTTATGGTCTTATGGAGAGTTGTAAGTAGCAGGAGCTGTTCTCGGAGGACGTTTGCAAGGTCCGTGATTCTTCTTCCATGATGCATGGGAAGCTCCACATGATCTAGAAGCGGGAGTCCATACGATGGGCCTTCCGTTTGCTGCGACATAAATCGCGCAAATAGAGTAGGTGAAAAAAATCAGTAAGTGCAGTTTTTATTCCAGTCTTTCCGAATATAATTTTTTGTTTTAGTGATCAAATTATAAGAGTCTAAGGATAAGTACTTACCAAGTTTGCGGCTTTTAGCCTCGATGACTTTAACTTGAGAGGAAAGAGTGAAAATCAGAATGAGAAGAGAAAAGAGAAGAGCAACCAAATGTGATGATGTCTTTGAACCCATTTTGTTTTCTCGTCAGGATTTGATTTGATCTGATCTGATCTCTATTGACCAACATATATAGACCAAGGCCTATTTAATTATGTTTCTTTTTGCTATTACAAAAAAACCCATATATTAAGAAGATAACGCGGTTTCTACGTACGTTATCTATAAGATTCTTTTAAATAATCATATGATTACACGTTTGATTGCTCCAGAAGATTTAATTTTTTTTTTATTATAAATCTATTAGAAAAGCAACATACGACTTTCTTGCCATTATCTATTACTCGAATATAACAACAGTCATGACCAAGCGACTGAAGTGTGAATACATTATTTTCATATGCTTGACCTGACTTTAGTACCTTAATATTAGTCTCACTATCCACGATCATAGTATGTGTCAGCATTACTAAAAAAAAAAATTCTTTTTCTTTGTGCACAACAACTAATTTCTTTTTACTTTCACTATCTCAGTTCTTTTTCTAAGTCTAACCCTCACACTAAATGCTTTTGATTTGATCCTACTGCAAATGACAGATTTTCCATATAAACTTAACGAATTATCTAACCACGATATAACATACTGTATATAAATAAATACTTGCTAAATAAATATATTTATTCGGTCTCAACAAGTTTTTCGAACTAACTAGTTAATATATCAATAAATTCATCTCTATGAATTATAAAAATAGCATACCACATCCAACACATATTATTACAAACGACTTCACTTGCACATATATGTTCAAGATTGGCGATTCTATTAATACTACAGTCACGACAGACATTTTATTCGTAGCACACAAAATGGTTTCAGAATGTTCTACATATAATACGTCGGAATATGTGATAAGGTTGCATCCATATATATACTTAAATCTAATACATTTCCTAGAAGTCAAATCCAAAATCTGATGTAAAAACGCTAGAGGCTTAACCAACCACTGATCAAAAGGATTCAACAACTATTTCAATATTAGGATCAATATATAATATTATGTGTAGTTTTAATCAAACACACAATAGTTTTTGTTTACATCATTTGAAAGGAGTACATGTTTTTAGATGTGTAAACCAAATCTTAAAACCACATACACTTTATTATTGCATAGAACTTGAAAACTCTTACACAAAGACACAGACGCACATAGTTAAGGAGATTGGTCAGAAGCAGGAATATAACTTCCTGGAGGAAGCCTGCATGGTCGGGGTCTCCTCCACTTCGAAGTGAATACTGCTGGAGAAGTTCCACATGACCTTGAAGGTGGTGTGTACACGATAGGCGTTCCCGAAAACCCCCACGCTGACATATTAAAGTTCAAACTAAAATAAGAGAGATATTTGATTTACTTTGAAGGAAATATCGATTTCGAACTCGTTCTTTTCACAACTTTACTTAGAAATTGTTGATGTAATGTAAGGATGAATTTATATCTTGCCATACACTCTTTCCATTTTCTCATTAAAAATGATATACACAAGAAAACATATATAAAAGATATAGGGCAAGACATAAAGTGTATTTGTTGTAAAGAAACTTACAAAGTTTGCGGCCTTTACATTCCACGACTTCAAGCTGAGAGGAAAGAGTGAAGAGTATAAGAAGCAGTGGTAACACAAGTGCAGAAATATTTGGAGACTTCGAACCCATTTCTCTTTCGTTGCGTGTTTTTTTTTCATCGCAAGTTTGTGATATATATAGAAGGCATAACCTCATATTTTTGGTTTCCCTATTTAGTTTTCTTGTTAGCCAGCTTTATTTCAAAGTTTCACTTGTGAACGCGGTTTCTATATGACCCTACAAGCCTACAATATTCCTTCTTGTTGTTGATTTACAATTTTGAATTTTAAGTGATAAGTCTTTTTCCGTTGTTTTGGAACAATTCAAATACAATTCAAATATTGAATTTGCCCACACAGGTGTGATCCAGTGGTAGTTGAGAATTAAGGAAAGGTTGGAAGGAACTAAACCAGGTTCGATCCACGCTGGAAACAAAAAACACATTTGTGTGGGAAGTCTGAGCTTGGACCAAAAGGCCCAAACAGTTTACCTTGTAGTCCAGTAACAGGCGATCTGCCTACCCCCTGACATTAGTCGGAAAACATTCCAAACTCGGGACAGACAGTGTGGTGGCCCTTCGAGGAGTAGTCCACTCTGAAGCACTTCGGTGCGTTTCTACCGGAACTGACCGGATCAGCCGGTAGGGTTTATCAAAAAAAAAAACGACTTCCTTGCCATTTCATATTAGTCGAAAAGAATATATTAAGTGGAGTTGACTATTAGTGTACGTTGACTTAAAAAGAAGAAAGTAACAACGACTTGAAACTTTATTTTCAGTGTCATTTGAGATTGTTTGATTTAAGATGAACCGCAGATGACTTTGACTTATGTTGAAAGCAAATAACAAAGACTCGATCGCACTTTGCCACTATCAATGATCGTTGAATTGGTCATAAAGCTTTTTCTGTTTTTCTTTATAACTTCGCTTCTTACTGAGTTACTGTGAATATAGCATATTCCGAGTGAGGTTTTAGACTTAAGTGCTTAATTTTGTATTAGTATAGAATCATATTAAAAAATTTCTCTATTACTGTTGAGCTGCCTAATAGTTTACGATGTCCAATATACGACTTCCTTGCCATTTCATTTTAATATGAGAATTATACGTCCAAAGACCAACTTTCTTATAAAAAGAAACATGAAGGCCCAAAATTTTAAAATAACAATTTTCTTATTAAAAAAAACTCAAATTTTTGAAAAAAATAGTGTCACTCTATATTTATCCAAAATTTTTTTTTTGGTACCCTAATTTTAGTGTCACTATATATGACCTTGTTGGATTCTAGATGAACGGACTGATGACTTTAACTTATGCCGTAAAAAACAACAAAGAGTCGCAATGTACCACTATCAATGATCGTTGAATTCATCATGATATTTATTTATTTATTATATATCTTCATTGCTTACTGTAAATAGAGGTTGCATGGAGTTTTTGCTTATACGTACTAGATGATTTTTTGGGGGTATTGATTATACTAGGTGATTATTATTTGCATATTGCACAATGAGAATTTTAGTGCACTGTGCCAGTACTATCAAAATGCTCAAAAGGTAAGCCCAGTCTATCCATTGAAGTTCAAACAAGTCTGAAAATTATTCTAACGTGGGATAAAACTCATGGTCATGGACGTCCGTAGCAAAAGCCATCATAGAAACTAAATCCAAACAATGTGTTATAACTTAAAACTCCCGTTCTTTTCTAGCATGGCATATTTGTCCCTAGCAGGTGTTTATCACGACATCAAGTTCTGGGCTTCCAAATTTGAGAAAGTTCGCTTTGTTCATACCAATCGTTGTCATAACAAAGTTGCTCATTCTTTAGCTCATTTTGGTTGCATACCCTGTATATTGTATGCTGATAGTTCAGATCCCCCTCCTTGGATTGTAAACCTCTTGTACAATGACTTGTTTGATCAATAATAAAGTTATTTAGACGGAAAAAAAAAAAGTTTCCTCTCTTATATTACAATATTAGAGTTTGTATGTTTTTTCCATATTTTAGTATGCAGCTCGTTAACTCTTTCAAATTATAAAACTCAATAGAAACATTCTTCGAGATGAAAAACAACTCTAGTTTCTAAAGACTAGATTTCAATTAACAAGTTTACAGAACTGCCAACTACAATTCTGAAAAGAAAAAATTAATTCGATAATTGGCTCTCATATGCATGAACTTCACAAGAAAAAGCGACCATAAGCTGGCGAGTTTATATAATGATAATGAATAATATTAATTGACCATCATATAAGTATTAGTTCCTTCATTTATTCATAGTAGGTGATGATAACATTCCTCTACACTTGAGACACAAAACTAAAACAAAAAACAACATACACTTTAAAATTCTAACACAGAGTAACTCAAACTCAAAGTATTATGGAGATTGATCAGAAACAGGGATATTAGTTCCTGGAGGACGACTACGTCTGCATGGTTGGCCTGTCGTCCACTTGGAAGAAGAAAATACTGATGCTGGAGAACCTCCACATGAATTTGAGTGTGGAGTCCACACGATAGGATTTCCCCAAAATGCTGCAGTATTCACATTAAACTAATTTAATGAGATTTTTGATTTCAAGTTCGTTAGTTTTTCACAAACTTATAGTACTAAATGTACATATTTGTTATAAAGTCACGTACCAAGTTTACGCCCTGTAGATTCCACGACTTCGACTTGAGAGGAAAGAGTGAAAAGTATAAGAAGTAGAGGTAACACAAGTGCAACAATATTTGCTGACTTCAAACCCATTTTCTCCTTCGTTTCGGTTTTGGTCATCGCAAGTCTTGTCATAAATATATAGAAGACGCTTAACCTCATACTTTTTGGTTGTTTCTATTTGATTCTTTCAAAGCCAGCATTATTTCTAAACTGTTGAACGCGGTTTCAACATTAGCCACAAGATTCATTGTTGACAAACGAATGGCTTAAATTTTAATTTTAAGAGATAAGTGTTTTTGTCCCTTCTTTTGGATAATGCCAAATACGACTTATTTTCATTTCATATTAGTCGGCAATAAGAGTGAAGCGGAGCTGACATCTTAGTTTTGGTGCCACTATCTATGATCGTTGAATTGGTCATCATGCTTGCTTTTTTTTCTGTAACTTGGTTTGCCACATGAACATATGAGTTTGCTTATTATGTGACATATTTGGTATTTATTGCCTACTAGGTGATTGACTAACTCAATATTGAGAATGAGTTGTAGAAAGAAGAAGTGTTTAGGTTTAGATGAATGCGTTCTTTCTTATTCATTAACCAACGATTACATCACATATATATACTCGAGAACTCTAGGTTAAACTAGACTTGGAGATCAAGCTATAAGATTTCCTAATCTCAACAATGTATATCTTCTAAGATATTATTAACATAAAGATATATTCCCCAATACTCCCCCTCAAGTTGGAGCATGAAGATCACAAATGCCCAACTTGGAAGATAAGCCTTCAAACGGTACACGACCCAAAGCTTTAGTTAACAAATCCGCGAGTTGATCATGAGTACGAACATGAACCATTGTGAGTGTCCCGTCTTGTACAGCATCACGGACCGCGTGACAATCTCGCTCAATATGTTTAGTCCTTTCATGGAAAACGGGATTAGAAGAAATGTGAATTGCAGCCTTACTATCACAAAATAGTTGAATGGGCTGCGACTGTGGATATCCCAAATCCTCAAGAAGTTGCTTCAACCACCGAACCTCATTCAACGCATTTCGCATGGAGCGGTACTCCGCTTCGGCCGACGAATGAGACACAACCTGTTGCTTCTTCGTCTTCCAAGATATCGGAGACCCTCCCAAAAACATTACATAGCCACTTAACGAACGACGCGAAGTAGAACATGAACTAAAATCAGAATCACAATATGCAGTTAAAGTCAGGTCAGGCTCGGAGGTGAGTAATACACCACGACCCGGAGAACCCTTCAAATATCGCACAACACGGAGCGCCGCATCCCAATGATCAACACGGGGTTTTTGCATGAACATAGACAAAATGTGAACAGAGTAGCAAAGTTCTGGTCGGGTAGTAAGGAGATATATAAGACGACCAACTAACCGTCGGTACTCTTCAGGACGAGGAAGAAACGCACTCTCATTGGAAATCAATTTATGATTTTGTTCAATAGGAGTTGCTGCTGGTTTAGAGTCAATAAGACCAGCCTCTTTAACTATATCAAGAGCATATTTTCTTTGAGAAAGATATATACCTTCTGAGCTTCTTGCAATCTCAATGCCTAAAAAATATTTTGCTTTTCCCAAATCTTTCATGTGAAAACACCTCCCCAAATACTCTTTAAAACTTTGAAGCATACGCGGATGATTACCACAAATCAACAAATCATCGACATATATAAGAACACGAAGCTCCACCCCAGCCCGTGAAAGAGTGAAGAGCGAGTAATCCGAGTAAGACTGAACAAATCCAAACTTTGTCAAAGCTGAAGAGAGTTTCGCAAACCAACACCTAGGAGCCTGCTTAAGCCCATATAGCGACTTGTGTAAACGGCATACCTTGTTAGGATCGGAGTGACGGAAACCAACCGGCAATTTCATGTAGACTTCTTCTTCTAAGTCGCCATGGAGAAAAGCGTTATGGACGTCCATTTGATGTACCTCCCACTTCTCGGCCGCAACAATTTTTAACAAACTACGAACTGTTTTCATCATGACCACAGGAGCAAATGTCTCGTTATAATCTTCACCTTCGACTTGACGATTGCCACAAGCAACTAACCGGGCTTTATAACGTTCAACCGAACCGTCCGCATTGAGCTTGATTTTGTAAACCCATTTGTTGTTAATAGCTTCTTTTCCAGGAGGGAGATCAACAACACTCCATGTACCACTATCTTCAAGAGCACCAACCTCTGTTCCCATAGCATTTGTCCAACGAGGATCAAGTATGGCTTGCTTATAGGATGTTGGTTCAACACCATCAAGAACGGCTGCTAAGAAAGCTTTATGGCGGGAAGAAAACATATCATCAGAAATATAACTCGTGAGAGGGTATGGTGTGGTACCTTGGACCGAAAACGAGGAGGCTGGATCGGAGACGGAAGAAGCATGATGGGGGTCTTGATCACAACGAGCAGCGTGAGTCACAAAATCCTTTAGACGAACCGATGGGAACTTTTGACGCTTCCCTTGTCCCATTTCAACTTGTTCTGTTTCTTGGTTACTAACACTTTGCGACGACAACTCCGGTGAGAAAACTGCGGAAGTTGGCCCAGATTTACCCGATGAAGCAGGAGATTCCGGAGTTATAGTTGCAACACATTCATCTTGAGACTCACTCCCCCTTACATCAAAAACTGGTGACAAATCAATGATCCAATCCTCATCAACATTTTCATGGAGCACCGGCTGTTCTTCTATGTTTTTGTTGAAAGGGAAAACATTTTCTTGAAACACCACATCCCGTGAGACTAAAAATTCATTTGTCTCCATATCATAGACTTTCCAGCCTTTCTTACCAAACGGGTACCCCACAAAAATACAATGACGACTCCTTTCTCCAAATTTATCTTTGTCTCTTGAACGCCTATGAGTGTAACATGATGAACCAAAGACTTTCAACTGATCATATGATGGTTTCTCGCCAAAGAGAAGCTCATATGGTGTCTTGCCATTAAGAACCTTGGACGGAGTCCTATTAATAAGATATGCAGCGGTCAAGATAGCTTCACCCCAAAATGTAACCGGAAGATTGGCTTGAAAAAGAAGAGATCGGGCCACATTTAAAATATGGCGATGTTTCCTTTCGACACGCCCATTTTGTTGAGGAGTGTCAACACAAGAGGTTTGGTGAACGATGCCATTGTCTTTAAAATACTGAGATAGACACATAAACTCCGTACCATTGTCACTACGAACCATACGGACGGATTTACTAAACTGTTTTTCGGTATAGGCACAAAAATTTTGTAGAACACGTCGTACTTCTGATTTTTCTAGTAGAAGATATGTCCATACCGCTCTAGAAAAATCGTCCACAATTGTCAAAAAATACACAGCTCCACAAGAAGCTGAAACTCGATAAGGACCCCATACGTCCACATGAATAAGTGAAAAACAATCCATAGCTTTATTTGAACTTTCAGAAAAAACTTCTCTTGTTTGCTTAGCCCGAAAACAAACGTCACAAGGACTTGGACTAGCTAATTTATTTTTAGATATCATAGGTAAAGACGAAAACACTGAATAAGCAGGATGTCCTAGCCTACGATGCCACAAAGTCGAATCGCACTGCACCTCAACTTTGTTACCCCGTACTGCTGCCACATCCGTTAAATAGTAAACCCCATCACGCTCTGTCCCGGCTCCAATCTGCGTCCTCGAAAAACGGTCCTGCAAAACGCACAATGTATCAGTGAACAACGCAACACATTGAATCTGTTTAAGCAGCTTGGAGACAGATAAAAGAGTGCAATTAAGGTCGGGAACATATAACACATCACGTAGAGTTATACGATCTGAAATATGAAAAACACCAATACATTCCGAAAGTGTTTTACTCCCATCCGCAAAGCCCACCGAGCAAGCAGAAATTGGAGTAATATTCACTAACAATGAGAGATTTCCTGTCATGTGGTGAGAAGCTCCCGTATCGAGAATCATCTCCTCAGTAATCTTACCAGAAACCATCTTACCAGAAAGCTTGTCAGAGTTGCCATTAGATTTCTCTTGAGCCATCTGACTTATGACCTTCCATTGATCAGAAGTAAACGACGGAAAGGCAGAGGCATGAGGGCTGGTGGCGTGAGCCACTGTCGCAAAACCACGACCACGACCCGACGGACCAGAACTCGATCCACGACCGCGACTTGACCCGCGACCACCACCAGATTTGTTCCGATCATTCCACCACTCCGGATAGCCAACAATTTGCCAACAAAACTCTTTTTCGTGTCCTGTCCTGCCACAGTTTGAACATACCAACGCAGGACGTCCCGAGCCACGACCACCACTTGGAGAAAAACGCGTTGCAAAGCCAGAGACATCACCAGCCACAAGAGAAGAGTCAGGACCCGGCTCACGACGAGTGACAAAACCGATAGCATCTTGCTGTTGTTCCTTCTTCTTCGAAGCGACAAGTCTCTGTTCTTCCCGAATCACCTTTGCATAAGCTTGTGCGAGATCAGGCATAGGGTCAGCATCTGTGATTGCACAAATCACATTACCAAAACGGGACTCATCAAGACCCATTACAAACTGATGAACCTTCTCATCCTCTCTCTCTTTTGCAAACTTCTCACTAGCACCACAAGTGCAAACCGGGAGAGGACGATAAGTGTAGAGCTCATCCCACAAAACCACCAAACGTCCGTAATAATCAATCACGGATTGGCCATCTTGACGACACGCCGCAAGCTGACACACGATTTGATGCGTACGCACCTTGTTCCCAACCGAGAACCTCTTCTTCAAGTTATCCCACAACTCAGCTGCCTCGGAAATAAAAGACACCGTGGATCGAACCCTTGGAATTATTGAAGTCCTCAACCATCCAACAACCATTGAGTTCACACTGGTCCACGCTTCCATCTCTGTACCTGCAGCCGTGGGCTTCTTGATCGAACCATCAATAAACCCCAACTTCCTCTTAGCTTTAAGAGCGTTGAGCATCTCCGTAGCCCATTCTGCATAATTTTCTCCAGTTAATTGAACGGAGGAAATCATGGAGCCAGGGTTATCACCGGAGAACAGTGAATACGGCGTCACCTTGGTGCTGTCAATCACCTTAGGAACCAACGCTAGTTCTTCTTCAGCCATCGAAACAGATCTTAATCAAAGATCAAACAAAGAAACAGGGAGAAAAAAAAACGAAACAGAGACTTTTGAAAAAAAACAAAAGAACGATGAATCAGAATCGTTGCTCTGATACCATGTAGAAAGAAGAAGTGTTTAGGTTTAGATGAATGCGTTCTTTCTTATTCATTAACCAACGATTACATCACATATATATACTCGAGAACTCTAGGTTAAACTAGACTTGGAGATCAAGCTATAAGATTTCCTAATCTCAACAATGTATATCTTCTAAGATATTATTAACATAAAGATATATTCCCCAATATGAGTTTTAGAGTTTTAGTGTTCAATAAATTTTGTATAAATATGTAGGCTCAATCAACATGTTATAAATCGTTTTTCAAATAAAATTTTGATCTACAATTTACATAATCTCATAGACAAATAATCTTCACAAACTTCACTTCTATAGATACTTATTTTCCAAAATAATGACAAAAATTTTAAAATTAAGAAGATATTAAGAGAAGTCATAGTAATTAATAATAATAAAAATTATTAAGAGAAGTCAAAGTAAATAATTGTCTAAGAATTGTTTTACAAAATAATTCTTTTTATTTTATCGAAGGAGATCAGTTTGTGTTAAATAAAAACTGCTTTTGTAAAGTTCAGACTGAAATGTTTTCACTTGCAGTTTTGTGCATATTCCGTTATAATTAAACATGAAAGAGTACCATTGTTTAACATTGTTTATATGTCAGATAAAACATATATAAAAGTTGCAGCACAAAAATAGAATTTAGATATATATTTTTTGTTTTGGTAAAAGATATCAGATATCTTATTTGTTATTTTTCTCCTTTTTTTACTTAATTCCCTTTCAAGACTCTATAGTAAAATTTCTTGAAGAGCGTTGACGTGGAGGTGGACATGGACGTGGACGTGGGCATGGTCGTCTTCCATGGCCTCCACATGTACAAGATGGAGTTGTTGCAGATAGCTCTCTACTAGCTTTTACTAACGAAGAATGAAGAAAATTTTATGTTAGAAATGATGAATTAGATCAATTAATTCTGGAGAAGATTCTAATACCAATCATATATATATATGATTTAAAATTGTATCAATATGTTAGTACCCAGATTTAAATATTTTTTACTAACTCTATTATCGAATATCTAAAATAATTGATCCTTTCCTAGTTTAAAGATACCAGAACTTGAAGATTTCTTCAAGATACTCAACATCTGCTTGAGCTATAGAGCAACATAGAAACAAGAGAATAAAAACAGATCTATGAAGACACTGACCTACTCTCCGGTGAGTGATCTCAAACCCTCCAATTTCAGAGAAGAGACAAAGAAGTAGAAGAAATAATAGAAGAAGAGCACTGGTTGACCTTTTCAAATTCATTTTTTTTTTTTTTGCTGCTAAAGAGTTTTCATATTTATAGAATTTTTTGTTTTTGGATGACACAACACAACATGCTTTACGCCCAACAATAGATGGATGTATAAATAAAAGACAGCAAAAAATAGACTGAAAATAGGTGATGGCTAAGTCGTCTCCGATATTCATCCAATGAGACGACTTAGCCATCACCTATTGTCGTCCAGAACCGTACGCTTAAGTCCCACCGCCACCATGTCACGATTCTTCAAGAAACTGTCGACGCTACCAAGCCACGATACAACATTGAGGAAGATCACGCCGGAAAACCATAGAGAACCCAAACCGCCGTCTTCAAACAATTTGTCGCCTCAAAGATGGATCTCCAGCCGCTACGAGCAGAAAGATAGGTCTCGTCGCCATCAACGCAACACACACAAGGGATGAGCACAATCTGAAGCCGCCGATGGATTCCATATAAAACTCCCAATTCGACTTCACCGGAGCAAGGGCTGACAACATATCCGGCGAGATGAAACAGAAAGGAGCCCTCTACGGTTGTCCACGAGGAGCTTTGTGAACTGGAGAGACTTATCGAAAGTTCTTTGGATTTGACGCCTTCGGGCAAGACGAAAGAGAAATAATCCACGCATTTTGCTCGCTCGCGCTAGCTTCTTTAAGATCCTTATATCCGTGACACCACTCTCCCGACAACCCCGGAAAATGGACATGCCATGTGTACCTCCCATTAAATCTTCACCAATACCAGCTACCTTGATACATAACTCCTTGGAAAACATACCTACATCCAATTTTGGGATGCATGAGTAAACGATTTTACTCAGTAGAATTATCCTATATGCGCACATGACCTAAACATTCATTTAGTCCCAATGTCCCTTCCCACAAGTCCAAGAACAGACAACTACATGCAAATAAAGAATCTAACAACCTAACGATATCAATGCATTACATTCAATTAACAAACAACCTAATGATGTCTACATACTCAATTATTCTTGTTGTGTAACACTCAACTCAGGTCAAGCGACCCGTTGGTCCTTGCCACTTACTCAAGCCCCGTCGACCCACCCCATTCTAAACAGTCATCATGCTTCAATCAATCAATCTCAACAACCATGCCTCGACATCTGACAACCTAAGCAGCAATCAATCTAGATATCTACACCCAACCTTAGTGTTCCATTCACGAGTTCCAGAACTATGCAGAGGGTCCACAGGCGGGGAAGGCAGCTTCACGTTCCTCTCCATGGCTTGATCAATCTCCTCTTCTCAACCATCCAGTAATCCATCTTGCAGATCTAAGTCACAGAAGAACTAGGGTTTTAGAGATCTAGGGTTTCAGGAAACTTAGGATTTAGATCTACAGTAAAACCTCTATAAATTAATACTCTATAAATTAATAACCTCTCTAAATTAATAAATTTTTCCGGTCCCAAGTTGGGACCAGTGTAAAATATGACATAAATCGATAAATTAATAAGATAATAATTTTTTTGAAAATCTTATGTAAACATATGGTCCCATCTATATCATAAATTAATAATTGTATTAACTTATCAATATATATATACTTATATATATATTATATAAATTTATATATGTTATATATGAATTACTATGATATATATTTAATATATTATATGTAAAAAATCTAATGAAATATGACTCTATTATTCGAAAAAAGTTTGTGTTGTTTTTTAAACTTAATAATTGTTTCACTATTTGTAATTAGTATTTAAGTAATATTGTTTATAAAGAAAAAATTTATTTTTAGATAGAAATTTTTTTAAAAAATTAGTAAAATCTCTCTATAAATTAATAATTATTAATTTATCGATAAATTAATACCTCTCTAAATTGATAAAATTTTCTGGTCCCAACATTATTAATTTATAGAGGTTTTACTGTAGATTAGGATGAGAAATTGTTAAAAATGCACCTTTTTCAATACCCCTTTTCAAAAATGCCCCCTTTGAGAGTCCATTTTTAAGTTTGCCCTCTTTTATTTTTTAATGACCATTTTACCCTTATTTGAAACAAAATTAGGTCCACAAAATACAAAATATTTTTTGGCGGGAAAAGTGATCCCGCAATTTTCCCGCCAAAACACTTGTAAAAAACCTTTAAAATACCTTGTAAAATTTTCCCGTAAAAATTTTTCCCGCCAAAAAATTTTCCCGCCAAAAAAATTTTTTTGCGGGAAAAGTGATTCCGCAATTTTTTTGGCGGGAAAATTTTTGGCGGGAAAAATTTACAAGGTTTTTTAAAGGTTTTACAGAGTATTTACAAGTGTTTTGTAAGGTTTTACAATGTATTTTAAAAGGTTTTACAAGGTACTTATAAGGTTTTATAAGGTATTTATAACTTGTAAAACCTTATAAAAACTTGTAAAACCTTATAACTTGTAAAACCTTATAAAATTGCTTGTAAAATCTTATAATATCTTATAAATACCTTATAAATACGTTGTAAAACCTTTTAAAATACATTGTAAAACCTTATAAATACCCTGTAAAAAACCTTTAAAATACCTTGTAAATTTTTCCCGCCAAAAATTTTCCCGCCAAAAATTTAACGCCAAAAAAATTGCGGAATCACTTTTCCCGCAAAAAAAAATTTTTGGCGGGAAAATTTTTTGGCGGGAAAATATTTTACGGGAAAATTTTACAAGGTATTTTAAAGGTTTTTATAAGTTTTTACAAGTGTTTTGGCGGGAAAAATTGCGGGATCACTTTTCCCGCCAAAAAATATTTTGTATTTTGTGGACCTAATTTTGTTATATTTCCTTATATATTTGTGATATATTTTATTAAAAGAAGGGTAATTTAGTCATTTTGTACATAAAAAGGGGTATTTTTAAAAATAGACAGCCAAAGGGGGCATTTTTGAAAAGGGATATTGAAAAAGGGGCATTTTTGTGAGTCTCCCGATTAGGATTACCTTTTTCTCACAACAGAAGGCTTGGATCTAACTTTTGTCACACACAAACACTCACGGCGGCTAGAGGAAGAGGCTTACCACACAACGTTGCATCGTCTAGACTCATACCAAAAAAAAAACGTTGCATCTAGATAGGAATATACCACTAAGCCTTCAAAGTTTTCTAATTTAAACCTCTAACCTTTCGTGTTTTATGTTTAAAACTCCAACTAAATTATTTTTTAGAACAAACTTTGGAATATAAAAAAAAAGTGTGAATTATAGGATTTCCGTTAGCTTCAAATCCATTTTTTTTTTCTATTGTTTGTTTGTTTTTGCTAGTAACGCTTTATTAAACGCATCTATAGCCGAAAAATCCAAGTCCCCATCAGCCTTCCAACACATTTTGTTTCACGCCATCCGATGAAAGCCTTTTGTTGACAATTAGAACTTGATACTAATGTTTTTGAAATTATAATTAAACATGACAACACACATACGTAGATAATGTTGTAACGACTGATTTTATCCCTCTCTGACTACATGTGGAAAAAAAATTAGTCGTAAGCTGGCCACTTTTATATCATGATAAATTGATAATCACATAAATAATTGACCATCGACCCAAAAGTTTTAGTTCCTTCATTAGTTCATAGTATGTGACAAACATTGGTTTACACTTGAGACAAGAAACTAAAACAGAAAACCAAAGACACTTTATTATAGGAGGATGTAACTTAAAAATCCTGATACAAAAGACACACAAACTCGAAGTATTAGGTGAGTATTAAGGAGATTGAGAAACAGGGATATTAGTTCCGGGAGGACGAGTACGTCTGCAAGGTCGGCTTGGCATCCACTCGGAAGCCATTGTTGCTGCCGGAGAACCTCCACATGAACTTGAGGGTGGGGTAAATATGATAGGTGCTCCGTTAAACCCCCACGCTGCAATTTTAGAGAGATGATTGATTTACATAGGTGGATATAAAAGAATTTAAATTCATAATTTTTAGAAAGTTTTACTTGCAAACTTTTAATACCGTATATGCTTATGTTTTTGTAAGTTGTAACAAAACTTACAAAGTTTGCGGCCTGTAGACTCCACAACTTCAACTTGAGAGGAAATAGTGAAAAGTATAAGAAGCATTGGTAACACAAATGCAGCGATATTTGGTGACTTCAAACCCATTTTTTTCTTCGTCATGTTTTTGGTCATCGCAATTCACAAGTCTTGTGATAAATCTATATATAATAGCAATCTAATAAATACCATTGGCACATCTGAACGGTTGCGTCTTTTTATCGCAACCTTTAGTTTAAATCGGTTACTTTTAACGGTTATTTTGGTTGCGTCTTTTTATCGCAATTTTCGTTTTAATCGGTTATTTTTTTACGGTTATGTCGTTTCTAATAAATACCATTTGCACATCTGAACGGTTGCGTCTTTTCATCTAAACTTTCTGTTAAAATATTGACGGTTATCTTTTCGGTTGTTTTTATCGCAACTCTTTGTTAAAATATTGACGGTTATTTTTTTTTGTTGAAGGTTATTTTTCGGTTGTGTCTTTTTATCGTAACTTTCCGTTAAAATATTGGCGGTTACTTTTTCGTTTGTGTCTTTTTATCGCAACTTTCCGTTAAAATATTGACGGTTATTTTTCTCGGTTATGTCTTTTTATCGTAACTTTCCTTTACAATATTGACGGTTATTTTTCTCGGTTGTGTCTTTTTATAGCAACTTTCCGCTAAAATATTGACGGTAATTTTTCTCGGTTGTGTCTTTTTATCGTAACTTTCCGTTAAAATATTGGCGGTTACTTTTTTTGTTTGTGTCTTTTTATCGCAACTTTCCGTTAAAATATTGACGGTTATTTTTTCTCGGTTGTGTCTTTTTATCACAACTTTCCGTTAAAATATTGACGGTTATTTTTCTCGGTTATGTCTTTTTATCGTAACTTTCCGTTAAAATATTGACAGTTATTTTTTCAGTTTTGTCTTTTTATCATAACTTTCCGTTAAAATATTGGAGGTTACTTTTTTCGTTTGTGTCTTTTTATCGCAATTTTCTGTTAAAATATTGACGGTTATTTTTACTCGGTTGTGTCTTTTTATCACAACTTTCCGTTAAAATATTGAGGGTTATTTTTTCGGTTGTGTGTTTTTATCGCAACTCTTCGTTAAAATATTGATGATTACTTTTTTGTTGACGGTTATTCTTTCGGTTGTGTATTTTTTATTGCAACTTTCCGTTAAAATATTGACGGTTACTTTTTATGTTTGTGTTTTTTATCGCAATTTCCCTTTAAAATATTGACTATATAATAGCAATCTAATAAATACCATTGGCACATCTGAACGGTTGCGTCTTTTTATCGCAACCTTTAGTTTAAATCGGTTACTTTTAACGGTTATTTTGGTTGCGTCTTTTTATCGCAATTTTCGTTTTAATCGGTTATTTTTTTACGGTTATGTCGTTTCTAATAAATACCATTTGCACATCTGAACGGTTGCGTCTTTTCATCTAAACTTTCTGTTAAAATATTGACGGTTATCTTTTCGGTTGTTTTTATCGCAACTCTTTGTTAAAATATTGACGGTTATTTTTTTTTGTTGAAGGTTATTTTTCGGTTGTGTCTTTTTATCGTAACTTTCCGTTAAAATATTGGCGGTTACTTTTTCGTTTGTGTCTTTTTATCGCAACTTTCCGTTAAAATATTGACGGTTATTTTTCTCGGTTATGTCTTTTTATCGTAACTTTCCTTTACAATATTGACGGTTATTTTTCTCGGTTGTGTCTTTTTATAGCAACTTTCCGCTAAAATATTGACGGTAATTTTTCTCGGTTGTGTCTTTTTATCGTAACTTTCCGTTAAAATATTGGCGGTTACTTTTTTTGTTTGTGTCTTTTTATCGCAACTTTCCGTTAAAATATTGACGGTTATTTTTTCTCGGTTGTGTCTTTTTATCACAACTTTCCGTTAAAATATTGACGGTTATTTTTCTCGGTTATGTCTTTTTATCGTAACTTTCCGTTAAAATATTGACAGTTATTTTTTCAGTTTTGTCTTTTTATCATAACTTTCCGTTAAAATATTGGAGGTTACTTTTTTCGTTTGTGTCTTTTTATCGCAATTTTCTGTTAAAATATTGACGGTTATTTTTACTCGGTTGTGTCTTTTTATCACAACTTTCCGTTAAAATATTGAGGGTTATTTTTTCGGTTGTGTGTTTTTATCGCAACTCTTCGTTAAAATATTGATGATTACTTTTTTGTTGACGGTTATTCTTTCGGTTGTGTATTTTTTATTGCAACTTTCCGTTAAAATATTGACGGTTACTTTTTATGTTTGTGTTTTTTATCGCAATTTCCCTTTAAAATATTGACGGTTATTTTTTTTCGGTTGTGTCTTTTTGATCTCAACTCTTCGTTAAAATAATTACGGTTACTTTTTTTTTTACGGTTATTTTTCGGTTGTGTCTTTTTATCGTAACTTTCCGTTAAAATATTGACGGTTACTTTTTTTGGTTGTGTCTTTCTATCGCAACTTTCCGTTAAAATATTAACGGTTATTTTTTTCGGTTGTGTCTTTTAATCGCAACTTTCCGTTAAAATATTGACGGTTACTTTTTACGTGTGTGTCTTTTTATCGCAACTTTCTGTTAAAATATTGACGGTTATTTTTTATCGGTTGTGTCTTTTTGATTGCAACTCTTCGTTTAAATAATTAAGATTACGTTTTTCGTTGACGATTATTTTTTCGGTTGTGTCTTTTTATCGTCACTTTTCGATAAATATTGATGGTTACATTTTTCGGTTGTATCTTTCTATCGCAACTTTCCGTTAAAATATTGACGGTTATTTTTTTTCGGTGGTGTTTTTTTATCGCACTTTCCGGTTAAATATTGACGGTTATTTTTTCTCGGTCGTATACTTTTATCGCAACACTTCGTTAAAATATTGACGGTTACCTTTTTTCGGTGACGGTTATTTTTTTGGTTGGGTGTTTTTATCGCAACTTTCCGTTAAAATATTGACGGTAACTTTTTTCGTTTGTGTCTTTTTTATCCAACTTTCTGTTAAAATATTGACGGTTATTTTTTCTAAGTTGTATTTTTTTATCGCATCTTTTCGTTATAATATTGACGGTTATTTTTTTAGACAGTTCTATTTGTTCAATTTATAGTCATATTTTTTTTTTCAGTTTACGGTTGTGTCTTTATAGTTGCATCTATTCATTTAAAGTTACGTCTCTTCACTATATTTCATTGCATTTTTTCGTCACAACTTTTTGTATGAATAGTTGTATATTTAAATGTTCGTGACTTTTGAACTCTATATATTTGTCCTTCTTCCTAAGTAGTTCCAAAATTTTTGTTTTTTAACATAGATTATTTGTTTCATGATGAATCCAAAAAAAAATCTGTAAAATGGTTCCAAATTATTTATTCTCTAAACTATTTCTAAACATACATCATTTTAATATTAAAAAAATTCTTCTCATTTTGATTTAGCCAAAGGTTTTTGGAATGATTATAAAAATAGAGAAGTTTTAATCAACTTTAAAGATAGAATTCTAATGAAGATACCAATAATTGTTTTCTTAGAATTGGACGGATTATACAGTAAAAAATTTTATTTAACTATTTTATATGGTAACAATGATGCTTTCTATTTTAATGCAATATATATGATTATATACAACGAAATATTGATGCTGAGTTAGAACTATTACAAAGTCCGAATATGAGAAGACATCTTCATGTGACGCTTGTGATTGGGCGCTTTAAATGTGGTAAGCGTCAAATAAATCGTTTGAAATGGTATAGTAATCAAGAAATCATCTCCATTTTTAGGAAAAAAATCAATTATTCCAATTCGTCACATGAATATTCAAGGAATAAGTTTTTTTACTCAGTTAATTTATCAATACAAATAGAAATTTATGAGATCTTGTAAATTTTTTTTTTTTTTAATCTTGTAAATGTTTATTTGTTTGTTATAGATGTAATTTACGTCATCAAATTTTATATTTTCTCTAATATATATAATAGAATAAATATTAATTTTATATTTAAAGAACAGTGGACAAACAAAAAACACCAATTCTCGGGCGAAGTTCTTAGTCACCCACAAGTCGTGCTGAGTACCGACTCCTTCCGAATTTTTGGGTTTTGAACTGCTACAATTTCTCATCTCAATATTATACCTCTTCGTTATGTATTTGTCACTTATAAATAATTTTACATTCATAAAAATTGTTTCAGTCTGAAGTTTCTTTTGTAGACACTACTCCTCCTAATTGGGCAACCAATCTAGGAGTTACTTATTAATAAATGTCTGGTTGACAAAAAAAAAAAAAAAATTTGTTTCAAAAGTGTTTTTAATCATAATTCTTATTTCTTACATTTTTATTCATAAGTTGTTATAACTTTAAGACATAGTTAATTTTATGTAATAATTCAAATTTTTGAATATATTATCATAATAATTTAATACATAAATACAATCAATTATATTTGTTGAAAATGAGTTCCCCCGCGACATCGCGGGGGTTCATAAGTCATAACCTAGTATATATAAAAGAAGCGTAACCTCATATTTGTTTGCTTTTGCTATTTAACTTTATTTGCAAATTTTCACTAGTGAACGCGGTTTCTACATTAGCCTACAAGACTAGATAAACGAATGGCTAGAAATATTTGAATTTAGAAGATAAGTAGGAAGGAATATTCAATATGAGTTGACTAATATTGTCCGTTGACTTATGTGTCACTATATATGAGATCGTTGGATTTTATAAACAAATGCTACTATCAAGGATTGTTGAATTGGTCAAAAAATTTGTTCCTTTTATATAGCACGGACTTTTTGCTTGCTACGTAGGTGACAATATGTTTGTTATTTCTTGTAGGTGATTGATTATCTGCAAACTGAGAATGAGATTTCCTAGTGTTTAATTTTTTATATACAGTATTTTATAATCATATTATCTAATCGAGTGAAAACGAAGAGGCCCTAGCTAGGGGTATAGCAAATTTCTGGTACTTCAAATACGAACAAGATTGTCAGCATAACAATTATTACAAAGTGAAGTTGAACGAATACTGAAAAGAAGAGAAGACAGGGTACAAAAACCAAATGAAACTCCAAGCAAAAGCCGGTCAACTCTCGGGGTTCTAAATCCACACAATATGTTACAAATTGTTTATC